CAGCGGTCGGGAACCTATGGCTCGCGAGCCATATATGGCTCTTTTGGTGACGGCATATGGCTCCCAGACAATTTTGAGTTGAAAAAATAAATAAAAATCAGTTTGGAACTGATTTTAAAATACTTGTGATATTGCTTAATAATACTGTCTCATTTTAAAGTAAACACAAATTAGTTTTGAAGATAAATTTCACGGGTCACGGGGCCTCAACGCCTGCATGAAGCTCAGCCTCACCACGTACGAACCAGACTACACAAGGCCATCAGCAAAACCACGCAGCACCAGAAGTCGCATTAAAAGTAAGACATTTAATTTATTATACGTAAAAAATTACTATATGGCTCTCAATGCAATATATTTAGAAATATTTGGCTTTTATGGCTCTCCCAGTCAAAAAGGTTCCCGACCCCTGGTGTACCCCTTGCTGTGGAGTTGGCACTGGGAGAGAGAATGGTAAGTGCGTGTATCAGGCGGCTGGTGTAATGTTTTTCAACGGAGCGAGTGAAGCATGTTCCCGGAGCAGCAGGGTCTACAATTGAGCTGTGGTGCACTGCAAGAAATTGAGGCTGGCAGTTTTCCACAGATGCAGGGAGCATCCTAATGGTTGGAGGTGTGCTGGTGTGCAGGCAGTGTCAGTGTGGTTGAATCAAGCGACTCGTAAATTATTTCCTGATACTTTAAGAATGGTACACGTGAAACGGGTTCCGGAGACACTTGTAGATGTAACTTCTTTATTACAATACAACACTCCAACAGTCCAACTCTCCAACAGTCCTGATACTCTGTTACAGCCTAGGTACACAGCCTAGCTACACAGCCTAGATATTCTACTCTGGCTACGCTCCGGAACTCGCCCTCACAAGGTCGTAGAGTCGGGAGTTCCAGAGTCCCAGCGCTGGCTCTCACAGCATCCCAGGGTCTTCAGATGGCTGGTCGTGGGTCTTGGGTCTTGAGTTACAACTGGGCCCCGATCGTCCAGGGAGCTCTCCTTTTATGCCTGGTCCAACGAGCGGTGGGGCCGTGTGCGCCACCAGACATCCCACAGAGCACACACAGCCCCCCCCCCCGTTGGCGGCGCCCAGAGGCTTAAGCGTCTGGGCCCCCTGGGAACCCAGCGCCTGGCGCCCAGAGGCTTAAGTGTCTGGACCCCCTGGGAACCCAACGCCTGGCGTCCAGAGGCTTAAGTGTCTGGACCCCCTGGGAACCCAACGCCTGGCGCCCAGAGGCTTAAGCGTTTGGACCCTCTGGGAACCCAGCGCCTGGCGCCCAGAGGCTTAAGCGTCTGGACCCCCTGGGAACCCAGCGCCTGGCGCCCAGAGGCTTAAGTGTCTGGACCCCCTGGGAACCCAGCGCCTGGCGCCCAGAGGCTTAAGCGTCTGGACCCCCTGGGAACCCAGCGCCTGGCGCCCAGAGCTTAAGCGCTGGACCCGCCCGGGATCCCAGAGCCCCCAGCAGCCCCTCCCCTCTTGGGCTGGCACAGTGGCCCCTCTCATGGCACTGCACCTGTAGTATAAATGGGCTGTTCTATGGCGACAGTGGGGTGTACTAGACACAAGGGCTCACTAGAGGGCCATTCCAGATGTGACGGAGCACGTGGCCCAGAAGGGGATGGCCACGTGCTGACTCAGCAATCTTTGAATACGTAATCGACCAGGCTATGCGTTGTGTGTTGACCGACTCTCTGTGTTGTATTACATAACATTTCGATATTTTGCTAGGTTATTTAATTTAGTGTGTTCTTCCTCCCCTCTCTCCTAATGTTCAAGCCTGCGTACTTTACTACGCGTCTCTTCGTACTCATTGACATGTTAATGTTTTCTCTAACCCCTCCCTCTCTCTGCCTCCGCCCCCCTCTGTCTATTTAAGGCCTCGCCACAGAGACGATCCCCCCTCTCTGTGCCTGTGTTGCTCTCTCTCTGTGTACCTTGGTGATGTCTGTCTGCTTATATGTTTGTCTATAGTTTTCTGGTTAGATTTTATGTCGCTATTTCATTTATACCCGATGACGATTGCTTGTGTTGCAATCGAAACGTCGTATTATGCTAGTATTTAATTTATTATTTTATCTTTATACGTGACTTCACCGAAAGACCAAAGAGTAATTCCTGCAGTCACGAAAGCTCCAAATTTAAGATCGTGATGTGGACCCAGAGTGTGACTGACGGGGAGGGGGGGGGGGGTGCGGAGTCCCCCGCGTGGTTCTTCAACCGCGGGAAAGAAGTCGTCCACCTTCCATCTTCGCTTTTCAGCCTCCGTACGCGTCGCCTGTTCCCGTCCAACGGTAGCGAAGGGGTTCCGCTCAAACGGCGAAGTGGGTAGGGACGGCGGCCACCAACCTTACGTGCTTAGCCCGCGATGAGCGCAGTCGCTCGCAATGTGCTTGGTTCACCTGGGAACGTTGAAATCAATAAAAGTAAAATAAAAATCACGACGTTTCGGAGGCAACACAAGCTTCCGTCTTCAGTGGAACCGTCACAGCCACGACAGCTGCATCAAGTAAATGAGAGATTGCAATAGACTGCATTCTATTCTAGTCTTAAAGCCTCACCTTACCAAATTAATAAAAGTGTGCCGTACTTGGCCCTTCCCCCCTCTCCAACCATTATATATACGGAGTGGTAGCTCTTGCGATCTCTCATTTACTTGATACAGCTGTCGTGGCTGTGACGGTTCCACCTGAAGACGGAAGCTTGTGTTGCCTCCGAAACGTCGTGATTTTTATTTTATTTTACTTTTATTAATTTAATGTTTTACCTACACGGTGACTTTGCCGAGAAAACCTAAGAATCTTTGCGGTCACGAAAGCTTCAAATCTAGAATCACCTTGGAACGTTGAATAGTGTTGGTGTGTGAGAGAATAAAACTTGCTGCCTCCCAGTCTTGGCGTGCGCCTGATGAGAAACCCACTGCATTTGCGTTGATTGTGTGGTAATGGGATGTTTGTGGGCGTATGTTTTTTTATCTGTACAAGGGAGATCGTTTAAACGCAGTTTTTGTGTATATCTGGTGCATAATGGTTGAATGATAGCTTTCAAACACTGCGCAAAATTCATGCAGAACTCCTGTGATACGCTGTGACACGGGGGAACACCAATAGAGCTGCTGATCTTATATCTGTGGGGCCATCTGCGAATCTTTACCTTCCAGCTAAAGGAGCAAAATGACAGATAACCTCGCCGATAAGAGGATGAGAATACCGCGTGACTCCTCTAATCCCAATTTTTATATTTTTCAAAAAAACAATATACACAACACCACGTCACCTGCTGTTCAATTGGCCACAGCTGTTCACAAACCGCATAGCCAACATCTTAAATGCCGTTTGTTTTGTCAATATAAATCGAGCCGGCTGCTACGGTATAATAAGGACGTGCGCCCGCTAAACTCAAGCCCTCGTATCCAACCGATGGAGTGAGAAATATAACGAAAAAATTTAAAACAGAAACAGAAACTCACGCAAATTAAGAAGTTAGCTAAAGTAACAAAAAGATTTGGTTGCTTTATGAAACATCCACCCCGACTCGTGCATTTATACGTTGGCCCAATGCGGAAGCCGCGATGCCACAAAAAACGCGTTCTAAGGAGATTGAACTCTCAATCAGAGGTCGCAACCAGGTACCCGATACCCGTACCCTACCCGATACCCGTACCCTACCCGATAGCCCGTACCCTACCCGATACCCGTACCCTACCCGATACCTACCCTACCCGATACCCGTACCCTACCCGATACCCGTACCCTACCCGATACCCATACCCTACCCGATACCAGTACCCTACCCCGATACCCGTACCCTACCCGATACCCGTACCCTACCCGATACCTGACCCCTACCCGATACCCGTACCCTACCCGATACCCGTACCCTACCCGATACCCGGCTACCCGTACCCGGCCGGTACGGGTACCCGTTTGCGACCCTGGTGCGGCCGGGTACGGGTAGGCCGTGAGTCCTGGTGAGTAACCATTTAAACCATTGGAACCTCCTTTACAGTAGAAAATATGATAATTGTTTTTAACCTTTATCTTGCAACAAAACTGACACCTTTTTTTACCAAGGAGTCAATGTTTGCATAGACCACAATACCTGCAGCCATAATGCAACAAAAACAGAACTCTGATAATGTAAGCAGATACACACAGACACACACCACAGATACCCAGACACACAGATACACACAGACACACACAGATACACACAGACACACACATACACACAGACACACACACAGACACATACAGATACACACAGACACACACAGATACACACAGACACACACATACACACAGACACACAGACACACACACAGATACACAAAGACACACACAGATACACACAGACACACAGATACACACAGACACACACAGATACACACAGATACAGACACACACACAGATACACACACAGATACACACAGACACACACACACACACAGATACCTGTTTGCGACCCTGGTGCGGCCGGGTACGGCTAAGGAATCAAACCCCGTTTGCGACCTCTGCTCCCAACACTCTGGGCTACAAACCCAGCAGAGCTGAATCCCCCGAGCTACGAGGCTGGGAGCCCGACGTGCCGCCCCCACACCGTCGCGTGAGTGGGGTGCCCGCGCTCTGCCGCTAGAATCTTTACAAAAGGCACAGACGGTCGCCTCCCATTGAACCTTGACGACGGAAGAACGTTGAGCAAAGAGACGGTGGAAACGGCGGCGGTGCATTGGGGGGGGGGGGGGGGCGAGTAAATGGAACGTGAGGTGGCAAAAATCGATTGGCCGGTGACGCCGCGGCGGCGGCGAGGGTGAAACTCGCTCGCGCTAGAGCCAAGACGTGCGGCCGGTGCCTCTGCCGGCGGCGGCGCCAGCGGCGATCTGCTCTGGGGACTCCTGGTCGGGTCTCGGCGTCGCCCCCCCCCGCTGCGCGGAGGAGCTGTGGAGCTGCTGCTGCGAGAGCTGCTGCTGTGGGAGGAGGTGCCGTGGGAGGAGGTGCCGTGGAGAGGTGCCGTGGAGGAGGTGCCGTGGGCTCCGGCTCGCCGGCGGGATCCGCCACCCTAGAAACGAGTCGAATTTCAGTGTTTTCATTAACAACAATAAATATACACACTCTCTCTCCATGATAGAGGGTTTGTCTGGGTTATTTGCGTGTATAATGTATAGTGCAGTGTATAGTGTAGTGTAGTGTGTAGTGCATAGTGTGGTGTATAGTGTATAGTAGTGTATCGTGTAGTGTATAGTGTAGTGTATAGTAGTTTATAGTGTAGTGTATAGTGTAGTGTATAGTGCAGTGTATAGTGTAGTGTATAGTGTAGTGTATCGTGTAGTGTATAGTAGTGTATAGTGTAGTGTATCGTGTAGTGTATAGTGTAGTGTATAGTGGATAATGTGATCTAAACCCAAACACCTCGATGATGAATAATAGTTAACGCCGTCATGTATGAGGAGCGGTGTGAGCGCTCGCGGACTTTACCCAGATCTTTCAAGAATTTGTGAGCTCCTCACACAATCCAGCCTGTGGGTTAAACCCAGGATGGATCATAGGCAGGCCAGCCTAAATGTTTCTAACCGGCGAAGATGCTCCATTAGGGGGTCCACGTTTCGCAAGCGTAGAGAAGGGAGGGAATGACTGTGGCCGAGAAGACCTGAAGCTTCGTGCGGAGCGACAGACCAGGTAGCTTCCACACAGCGTTACGCAACCGATGAAAAGATATTGCCGCTCGACTGATTCGGAGTGAGACCTCTGCTGTTAAACTGGAGATGGTCATAAGCACACTGCCCAGGTATGAGTAACTCTCCACTCTCTCCACAAATGCCCCATCACCGATTGGGAGTTGTGGGGGTGGAGTGTCCGATGGTACAAAATACCCAGGCAGGTGCTTAGTTTTGGTGGGGCTGATGGTAAGGCCCCACCTCTTAGTGGCACGCTCCAGTCTCAGCAGCAGCGTCTCCAACTCCTCCTCTGAATGAGCAGCTATTACCAAATCATCGGCATACATAACGTGGTTGACCAATAGGGAGCCATCCCTTGACCGCACCGGGGCATCGATCAGCCTCCCATTAATCTGTACCAGATGGAAATTCCCCCGGTACAGCTGTTGAAGGCTTCACTAACCACGTGGTCAAAGTAGATGTTAAATAATGTGGGAGCCAGAGGACATCCATGTCGCACCCCAAGGTGTACAGGGAATGGCTCTGACTCCCGGCCATGTAGTTTTACCCAGGCCCGCTCACCATCATGAAGGTCCTTAATGATCGTGAGCAGAGGGTCAGGGACTCCGAAAGCACGAAAAACAACCCAGAGCCCAGGCCTACTGATGGTATCATAGGCCTTGACCAGTTTAATAAAGCAGAGATGTAGGTCTTGTTAGAATTCCCTACACCTCTGCTGTAGCAGACGGACAGAAAATATGGCATCTGTGCAGGACTGCCCTTTCCTGAAACCACATTGGGGCTCCGCAAGCCTCTCATCAGCGTGCCTAGCAAGGCGATGTTGTGAGATGCCCCTGTAGTTGTTAGTCTGTGCAGGGTCGCCCTTCTTAAAGAGGGGGACCACCAGGGCATCCTCCCAATCCTGCGGAACCCGTCCAGTGGTCCAGACTGTTGTTATGATGTCATATAGGGCAGTCTGTGCACAAACGCCACCCTCCCTCAGCATTTCTCTTGAGAGATCATCTCTGCCCGGTGCCTTTCCTCGTCTCAGGTTCTGGATCGCTTTCAGTACTTCCTTAGGTAAGCACCTCAGCCAGCCACTTACAGGGGGTGACTTCCTCTTCAAATAATGAGGCACCGTAGCCTTAGCAGGGTTATCCTCTCTTTGTCCCACAATGTTTTCCAGGGTGGGAGATTTCCCCTCTCCCAGGACCTCACAGAAATGCTCAGCAAATCTGCAAACCTGTTCCTGGGGGTCGGAGATTGGATCACCGTTCTTTCCCCTAATGATGGTAATAGGTGTGGTGCTGCAGGTTACTTTTTTATGGAATTAAACGATTTGTGATCGCAGGCCATTGAGGCAGACTTCATCTCTTCAGGAACCTGCAATCACCAACCATCCTTGCAGCGCCTTAAGGCTCTCCAAACCTCTAAACGAAGGCTGCGGTAAGCCTCCTCATTCTCGGACGTGGGATGCTGTAGACGATGAGAGTGGGCCTGTCGCTTTTTCTCAGCCAGCCTGAACACCTCGTCTGTCAGCCAGGCTCTCTGAGGAGGTCTGGACCGTGTACTCAAAGCAGCCATTGCAGCTGCATGAGCCACAGTCCTAAACCTCGCCCATTTCCCCTCGACATGAGGAATGAGGGACGATGCCAACCCCAGCCGCAAGCAATGATGAAATTCTCGCTTCAAACTTTCATCAGCTGAGACCAGGCCACCTTAGGTTGGAATGGGGTCCTGGGTGTAGACCCACCACCGGAGTGGAAGAATGGCAGGCGCATCTTACAGATGACAAGTCGATGGTCAGAGGGCAGATCAGCTCCACGGTAGGTCCTGGTGTCAAGGACATGGGCCCGCATCCACTGTTCCGTCACAATGTAGTCCAGCAGATGTTCTTGCCTGTGTAGTGACTGTGATTGTCACTGCGTGGTGCCGGGCTTACGAAGCCACGGCGGATGATGTGTTGGCATTACGTGTAGCCCGCTAGCAGGGCGTAGTACCAGCCCTAGCGGGGCTTGGGTGAGCGCTGGTCAGCGCGGAGGCACCACGTAGAGCATGCGGTGCGGGATCCTGGCGAGGGAGCGAGAGGGAGCGTCAGCCAGCCAGGGTTACGTTGGGGCACGATACGCTGGTTGACCTGCCGACACGTGACCGGATGATATTGGGACGGGGCTGCTGGGCAGTCACGTGGTACAAAACAGCTCTCGGGGAGCCTTCGGGAAAGATCTCGAGAGATCTAGAAGGTGGGCGGGGCGAGGGGTTCTAGATTTGAAGTTTTCATGACTGCGATGATTCATACTCTTTGGTTTTTTCGGTAAAGTCACGAAAAAAAATAAATGAAAACAATTAAATCACGACGTTTCGGGCGCAACGCAAGTGTCCGTCATCAGGTGGGAAAGCGTGGCCTGCTGCTGATGCAGACCAAAGAGTGAGGGGCTCGGGGTTCTTCGTGTTGCTGGTGATGAAGATCCACGTCGGGTTGAAGAAGCCTCTAGTCTGAACCCCCGACGTCCCCGTCGCGTCAACCGCGTGACGTCGCGTCAACTGCGACGTTCCCAGTCGCGTCAACCGCAAAATCACCGTCACGTCCGCCTCTTGGTACCCCTTACCGCAGGCACGTCAAGGCGTTGCAGAACGCCGCGGAAGGCGAGGCGGACGAGCCGGGTGGGGAGGGTGAGGCGGGTGAGTCTCCAAAATTGCTCCTCCAGCCGCTCTCTGGCACCAGCACGTGCTCCACCAGTGCCGGGAGGCAAAGCTCCACCAGCGCAGCCCTCAGAGACTCGTGGCACGACAGGTTCCACAGCGTGCCTGGGGTAGGGGTGGCGAGGGTGGGTGGTGAGCGTGGGTGGTGAGTGTGGGTGGTCAGAGTGGGTGGTGAGTGTGGATGGTGAGTGTGGGTGGTGAGTGTGGATGGTGAGTGTGGGTGGTGAGAGTGGGTGGTGAGTGTGGGTGGTGAGTGTGGATGGTGAGCGTGGGTGGTGAGTGTGGGTGGTGAGTGTGGATGGTGAGTGTGGGTGGTGAGTGTGGGTGGTGTGGGTGGGTTTCTACCGGTGATCTTCTCCAGGGTGTGAGGGTTGTGAGTGCGTCCCAGCAGGCTGGCTAAGGCCGCGAGGCTTCCATTGTTGTTAAATGCCAATGCGCCAGCATGGCTGGAGCTGAGGATTTGCAACACCTCGCATGCACACGCAAGCACCTGTGGGGGCATGGGGAGGTGAGGAGATACACAAACAACAACAACTGCCATTCGCCAGACCATGTGCACCTTGAGGCCACGTGAAGTGTCAAAAACGCCCACTGGCAGGAGGTCAAGGGGCAAACCCAGGTGCCACGGGTCAACTGACTGAGATGACCGAGACGACTGGTTGATGCACCACCTGTGCCCCCTACTGTGCCAACTTGCTGTGCTTTAGGCACCCGGCGCTCCGCTCGTTGTTGTGAGCGTCGCTCCTCCGCCCTCCGTTGTTGTTGGAGGGCGACTGCCTCCAACTGCCCAGTAGCGTCCTTCACGAGCCTCCACCACTGAGGCCGATCTTGACAACGCTGGTACCAGTCGTTGGCAAGTCCACTCAGCTCCACGTTCTCCGGTACCACATCACTCCATCTCTTCTCTAGCCCGTGCCGTGCACAAAGATCCCCCGTGTAGCCTTCACAGACTGTAGGGGCAAGTGCTGTTAGTGAGTAGCACCTGTAAAGGCCGGCACGGCACACGAGGGGGTCGGTGGCCAACACCTCGCCCTTTGTCTCCCTAGCAGCGATGTTTACACATTTGAGGCTGAGTCGACCTACACACACAGACACATATCCTTGTCCCCCCATGCGCCCCACCCGTGGTCTCACATGGTCGTCCTCCTCACACTCAACGAGCAGCGTGAATATTGAGCGCAGCTTCCCAGCCGCCCACACCACCGCCAACTCCTCAGGTTGCTCGCAATCGACGCCACCACCGGCAACATCACCAGCAGCAGGGGCAGCAGGGACAGGGGCAGCAGGGCAGCAGCAGGGGCAGCAGGGCAGCAGCAGCAGGGGCAGGGCGCGGAGCGTCAGACAGGAGGGCCGCAGTGGCCATGGTGGTGACAAAGTCCTTTGGCCTGGGAGGGGGGGAGTGGGGAGAGGTGAGCGTGTGTGTGTGTAGACATTACACACAGACACACACACATTACAACAACAGCAACCGCAATTCGCCACTAAGTGGCGGTGACGTCATCACGACGCTTGTGCCAGGCCACGTGCACCTTGAGGCCACGTGAAGTGTCGAACGCCCGCTGGCAGGTCACGGGGCAGACCCAGCAGGTGCCACGGGTCGACTGAGATGACCGAGATGACTGGCTGATGCACCACCTGTGCCCCCTACTGTACCAACTTGCCGTGCTTTAGGCACCCGGCGCTCCGCTCGTTGTTGTGAGCGTCGCTCCTCCGCCCTCCGTTGTTGTTGGAGGGCGACTGCCTCCAACTGCCCAGTAGCGTCCTTCACGAGCCTCCACCACAGAGGCCGATCTTGACACCGCTGGTACCAGTCATCGGCAAGTCCACTCAGCTCCACGTCCTCCTGTACCACATCACTCCATCTCTTCTCTAGCCCGTGCCGCACCCGTTTAGCCCCCTCGATCCGGCCGAACAAAAGCTGTTTAGGCATGCGGTGGCTGGGCATGCGGGCTACATGACCCAGCCAACGCAGCCTTGCCTGCCGGAGGAGCTCACTGATGGGACTTTGCCCAGATCTTTCAAGGATTTGTGAGCTCCTCACACAATGCAGCCTCGTTAAACCCAACAACCACCACAACAACCACCACACAAACAACAACCACCACCACACAAACAACAACAACCATCACCACAACAACCACCACAACCACCACCACACAAACAACAACCACAACAACAACCACCACACAAACAACAACCACAACACAACCACCACCACACAAACAACCATCACCACAACAACCACCACCACACAAACAACAACCACCACACACAACCACCACCAAACAACCATCACCACAACAACAACCACCACACAACAACAACCACCACCACACAAACAACAACACCACCACCACAACAACCACAACACAACCACCACCACACAAACAACCACACCACAACAACCACCACCACACAAACAACAACCACCACAACAACCACCACAACAACCACCACCACAACCACTACAACCACCACCACAACAACAACCACCACTACAACCACCACCACAGCAACCACCACCACCACAACCACCACAACAACCACCACAACAACCACCACAACCACAACAACCACCACCACAACCACTACAACCACCACAACAACCACCACAACAACCACCACTACAACCACAACCACCACCTCCACCACTACAACCACCACCACCACTACAACCACCACAACAACAACCTCCAACCTGGGTGCCGCCATCTTGAACTTGGCGATGGTCTCCGGGTGATGACGTCACCGGGAATCGTTTGTTCGATTCTCATCGATTCTAATCGTTGGTTTGCGCGTCTCTCTCTGCTAATCGATTCCCATCGATTATAATCGTTTTGCGTGTCCCCTCTCTCTGATGATCGATTATCATCGATTACAATTATCCGTTCCGCTGGCTCCGTGGGCTATGAGATGTTGACCACCTCGCCTGGTCTACAGGAGCGTGGGTTCGATCTCTCTCTCATCATCACGGTGGCTATGAGATGTTGACCACCTCGCCTGGTCTACAGGAGGTCGTGGGTTCGATCTCCCATCATCATCACGGTGGCTATGAGATGTTGACTACCTCGCCTGGTCTACAGGAGGTCGTGGGTTCGATCTCTCTCTCATCATCATCACGGTGGCTATGAGATGTTGACCACCTCGCCTGGTCTACAGGAGGTCGTGA